ATTATTGTCATTGGGACAAATTGTCATGAAGTTAGCGATGGATTTTCAAATGTTGATATTGCCAAAAATAAGTTCTACTAGTGCATCAAAAATACCAATTTATTACTTTTTAAAAAGTGAATTATACTTTTTTTTAATATTTCTTTATTTGCTTTGATGAGGCTCAAAATTAAACCTATTCTAGTATTCCACCAAATCCAAAACCTCAAAACTAGTTCAAAGTAAAGCTTATACATCCAGTATTTCTTCATCTTTGTGCCTCTTCCATGCCTTTATGCTTTGGTTCAAACATCTCCTATGTCGTCATCCATCCTGCCAGGGTGCAAACTCCATTGTTGGTGCTTTAGGATCATAAGGATGCTAGGTTTGGCTTTTTAGCCAACTACCAGAAGACACACCCTTTCTTCAATAAAGGCTAAGGAGAAGGGTGGTTTTGAATCTATGGCCGTAGTATCTTTTATTCTTTGCTAGTTGTTGCTTAGTAGTTTTTGATGGCTGCGGAAGATAGGTTACTTAGTGGTTGGTTCGACGGCTATTAGTGGGTCGTGTTTTGCCAGAAACTTAATTAGTGGCTTTCTTCCCTCACAGTTTTAATCTACTTGGGTCATTTTTTGCAGTAGAGCAAAGCTTTCCTTGTGTGGATTAGTGAAGTTCATGATTGCTCGCCATTGCCCTAATCTTTTGACACTTGCGGTTCAGTCTAAAAGTTTTGTGGGTACGTGGTGGTTGATGCTAAACAAAGAAAAAATCTTATTGACCGTATTTTAAAAGGTTGTTAGGAAGGATTGTTTAGCGATTAAAATTAAAATTTTATTTAAATAAAATATTTATATTTAATGTTATAATTAATTGAAAATAAATTTTTTTAATTTTGACAGCTAACACTAAAAGAAGTGCACCTCAGTTTTATCCACTAAACAGTTGGTTTTTATGACACATATTTATAGAATTTGGGGTTTCATATAGCTTCCTGGGAAGATGCATATGTAAGGTTGCTGGGAAATTTGCAGAGACCATGGAGTATCAGGTAGTCCACACGATAAAAGCCTTTTCTACATATTAACGAAAGTCAATGATTGTGTACCCGATTGATAGATCCCATTCTGAAAAAGTGTTACGAAAAAACTGAGTAGATCTATGAGCCGATGCATCAAGGCATTCCTTGAAAGCTTGGAGAAGCATGTCTGAAGCAAATAAATGAGACCTAAAATAGAGTGTGAAAAAATAGAGGAATTTTTGCGAAATAAGAACTAGGTTTTGGTTAATAGGAGAACCACTATTGAAAGAAAATAAGAATAATGGTTGCAAATCATTATCTTTGATCCATGTTCTAATAATGGAGAAAAAAAAATTATAGCTGTTGACTTATGGGTCAACCTACTTACTACAAGATTTTTGCAAGTAATTAAAATATGAAATAAAACTAATAATTTGTAATTACTGGCTAACACGGGTTAATCCGTAACTAGTTGAGTTAATTTACGTATTTTTAGTTTTGTTTATAATTAGTAAAAATAAAAATTATTTCAAAATATAATGTTAACATATTGATAATTTAAAATTTACTAAGAGGTATATTTAACAAGTAAATATATAAATAATATAAATGCCAAAATGTTTTATCATTTTAAAAATATTAATAGAATTGACTATTGATTAAAACTTTTTAAGATATTTTTTAACTTTTTAAAATTTTTATTTTTAATTTTATAATTTATTAGACCATATCATGAGCCAACTCACTAAATTAGGGTGCTGAGTTGATTCACAATTAAATTAGTTTGTCTTCTAAGAATGTCTCCTCTCTTAAAAAATAAAAAAGATTAAAGCAATAATCCAACTTTTGTATTTGGCTGAGTAATGTCAATAGGTGTTGCAAAATAAGGCCAAGAAAAAATAATTTACAGAAGTTCATCCAAACAAAACTATAGTAATTTTCAAAAACTTACTTTTAAACCTAACCAATATTTTCTTTTATAACCCGTACATTTTATTTAGAGGGAACAAAGAGTATTTATAAAAATTAACAGGTTTGAGCTAGCCTAATGGCATAGTTTCAAACAATTAATTGGGGTTGGCACACCAATAACTAAAAAACCATCCTTCTAAAATTTTGCAGACAACTAAGACCACAATCTAATTTTTAATCAATTCCATCACATAAATAAAATTATATCTAACATGGTTGAAGTTATATGATTATGCAGCGACTAAATAAATCCCATTATTGAAAGCCAAAGAAGCTGGCAGTGTGCCTGATTTTTTTAACCTCTTATTTTCTTGATAGTTCGGAGGGAGGACAGATTGAAAACCAAGCCATATATATAGAAACATGGCCAAATTCGATAAGCCTGAGGACAAGTGAAGGACAAATTTTAAAAAGTTTCTAGTTGATTGTAATAAAAAGACCCATAAATATCATAATACCCTGTTATAACATTTCTGTTATGCAAATTCATTTTTGTAGGAACTCTCTACCCAATAAGACCTACCAAGATAATGCAAGCACTTCAGAGGGTGCTAAGAATTTTCAGACAATTTTGAAAATGAAATAAACTGCAATTGAATTATTGTTTGAAGAGCAACCATATTGGTTTTGCAAAAAGTAATATGCTGATTTAAAAGAATATGAACTCGAAAAATCAGTTTGCCATGCTCAATCACCACCCCTTCTTTCACACAAAGGATGTTTAGATTTAGAAAATGTTTTTTTTATTTTTAATTATAAAATTGCTATTTTTATTTTATTTTTAAAATTTATACAAAAAATATTAATATATTTTTAGTTTTACTATTTCCAATACAAATATTTAAAATAATAAAATAATCATTTTATAATTAAAAATAAACAAAATTAAAACAAAATATTTTATAAAATCAACAACTCTATTTCCTTGAAAAATTTCTTCCTGCTGGGTAAAAAAAGTCCCTTCTCCATCACAAATTCTAGCACCACTTAACAAGAATCAGTGACTCTATACATCTTAGCTGAAAATTGCTGGTAGGTTAATCGGGAGATAAGTTAAAAATAAAGTTTTTATTTGAGAGTTTTGCCTTAAATTTTGAAGTACATGGAAATTGCCTAACAAAAAAAAAAATCTATCACTCTATCAGCAATTTTTTTTAAACAAAATTGGTTACTAAAAATAAAGTTTAAAGTATGACTAAAACTTGAATATAAATGAACCTATATTATTTGTTGTCAATTACTTTAATCTCTAAGTTTCTCAAACTTTCATCTTAGGTATTAATGTTAATAGAAAATATATTTTGAAAAGAATAAAGTAAATAATATTTTATAAAATTTAAAAATTAAAGTAAAAGTTTTGTAATGTGAAAAATAAAAGTTACTAACACTTGCACTCTCAATGAATAAGACGAAGGTTTACTCACTTAATTACATAACACTCAAATTAATCAATCAATTCAAACATGGACAAAAGTCATACAATTAAGCTACTTTTCGAGGGAGAATAATCCAAAGGTATACAAAGTAGTCAGACGTGTGTCCAGCCTCACTAATGCACAAGAAAATATATTATTAGCGTAAGACGACTTTACACAAGAAGTAATTCTGTGCTTTAGTTTAAAGCATAACTTCTCAGAGAGAGAGAGAGAGAGAGAGAAAAGTTTAGTTTAAAGTAAAATAAATTAAAAATAGAGGAAATTAAAATTAATTTTTATATCTAAACTTTCTGAAGAGTTTTTTTTTTTTTCATAAACTCCTATGAACATAATAAAGTTTAATATTTTTATCTGATAAAAGTCTTAATAATAGGATTTTACAATAGAAAAGCTCCCATACTATTCTCTAGTTTTCTCTGCATAATGTGAAAACTTAACATCAATAGTAAAACTACAAAAATTACTTGCATAACTTTTACCTATTGTTTGCTTCTAATTTGTATTGATATAAAAGTTTTAAAATAAAGCTGAAAAAGTTATAAATTATTATTATTATTATTATTATTTTCAATCATCCATACAGTATTTTGACATGAATGCATATTTAACAAGAATATCATCTGATATAATTAATATTTAAAATATCTTTTTCTTGATTTTGACATATATATTTGTTTTAATAATTATAAGAGTTTTGTTTTTTTTTCTTGTAAAAGTTAAAGTCTATATATTTAAAAAAGTGAAGGAGGGAGGAGAAAGGACCCACCCTTACCCCTCTAAACAGCCGTCCTTAATTGAATGCAAAATTGTAATAGACAGATTACAAAACAATCACACACTTTTGGGATCAATAAAATCGATTTTTAGGTGCGAGACTTACTAAAACATATAAAGTATACCCATATTTATACTTTAAAAAAATAACTATACTTTGTCATTCAAATATAATTAATTCTTCCAAACTCATTTTTAAGATATTTTTTAAAAATAAAAACTATTTATTTTAAAGTTTATTCTTTTGATATTAATTATTTCAAAATCAATTAAACCAGAATGGGACACAGACCCTAAAAATAGTCAACATGTTTACATTTAAAGAAGATTGAGTGAGATTCAAAATGATACGTTAGACTTGTATTACAGTATTACATTTTATTATTTATTATTAGAAAAATACTCCTACAATAAATGTCTTAGTTATTGTCACTACAATTCTGCCCGGATCTGTTTTCCTATGAAATTTGAACAAGCGAGATTTTAAAGAAGGATTTTAGACGCAATTCACATAAATTAAGTTCGCAAAGATTAAGGTGATAAAAATAACACATTTAAACAATTAGAAATTATTATTATTATTTTATCAAGATATTCTCTCCTCTCATTCCTCTCCACAGGATCCACTCTCCCTCTTCTCGTGTGACAACAAACCAGTACCGAGACCCCTACCATTCTTATGTACTTCAATTTTTTTTTTTAATTTAATTTCGGCAAAATTACAACACTCGAGTAGCATAGCAAAAATATTAAATAATAAAAATTTGAACAGTTCAGTCTAACTCTCCTATTGGAGAACTTCATCTCTCTGGTCTGAACCCTCTCTTCTTCACAAGCTCTCACACTCTCTCTATAAATATCCCCCCTAATAAACCGTTGTTTGTTCTTCTCTGTTACTCCCACTTTGCCTTCACACACTAAACTCAATTCTAGTTTTGTAAGGAGAAAGGGACCACTCCTTTCTTTCATATAACAATGTCGGCTTACAGAGACGAGGATCCCCGTCTTCGTGCCATCAAAACTAAGATTCGTGTTGTCCCTAATTTCCCCAAACCTGGTTTGTTACTGTCCTTTCTTCCCTTTTCTTTTATCTCATCCTCTTCACTCTACCATGTCCCTTTTTTGGTATTTTTTGCTTTTCTTTACTAGTCAAGCTTGAATAAGTTAAAACAAGCGATACCCTTCTTCATAATTTAGATTACATGTGCTGGTTGGAACTTGGAACGCCCAAAGGATAATACTTCTTTTAAAAAAAATTTATGGTTTATTTTTCGTTCCATTTTTTTTTTGGAGAAGCCATCGCTGGACACATGGGGCTATGAATTCTTATTTTGTTTGAGAATTTCGTTTTTAAATTTCTCAACTTTTTTATATCCGAGGAAAAGGGGTTTCCTCTGTTGTCTGGTTCTTTCCTGTTGTTTTTTTTTTAGTTTGGTTGCTATGCTAATTTTGTTGCAATGGCAGGTATTATGTTCCAAGACATTACCACTCTGTTGCTCGATCCCAAAGCCTTTAAGGACACGGTAGATTTGTTCGTTGAGCGATACAAAGGCAAAAATATTTCTATCGTTGCAGGTAAAAAGGAGAAAAATGTTGGTCTTTTGTGGTAAAAAAGGAAAAAAGAGTGGTGAAACCTAGATGAACACTTGATTTGAAACCCTTTTTTGAATTAAAAAAAGAAAGAAAGAAACGGGCCCGGGACTAGAGTTATGACTTATGAGTTATGAGTGAGGTTTGGTTCAAGGTGGTGGGGTCCATGTTTATGAGAAGGATGGCCAGAATATGAAGGGGTGATCTATATTGCATTAGTTTTTGGTTGTCTTTTTGAACGCATTTAAGGGACATTGTGGAATGGAAGTGACTGTGGGTTTTGGGAGTGATTTTTGGTTTGACTATGAGTTCTGGTTAGTGGGAGTGCCATTGATTACTTTCTGAAATCTGAATGAAGCTTTTTTGTTTTTATTTTGTGAAGTTTTATTGAGTTCGCCTGTGTACTCGTGGACATGTGCTTGGATCCAATTTGCATGGATGTCCATTGGCGATTGATTCCAACTTGTGGAAAGTGGACCCGTGTGATGCGAGTTTCGATTGGGCCAATTTTGTTCGGCTCCATTATATTTGTGGGTGGGTTTTTCCGTGTCACTGTTGGGTGACTTGGAGCTCCAATTCCTCATTTGTTCTTTCCCTTGTCTTTTTCTTTTGTTCCAAATTCTTTTGGATTTTGGTCAACTTGTCTTCCAAATTCTTAAATCTTGATAAAATTCGGATGTCGCTAGCACCTATAAATGACGAACTATATGTACTATTGCAGTGTGCCTTTTTTAAAAGAAAACAAATTTGTCTACTTCTAATTTTGTTTCCTCTTTTAATTTTTTATTTTTGGTCCAACATGGCCTGATGTGCTCCAAATTTATATTTTATGTTCCGCCCGATATGTCATGAAAATCCTGAAATTAAAGCTATTATTTGTTGATTTCATGTCTAATGAAATACTTTGTATGTTGAGATGCAATGCGTGCAATAGCTTCCACCTGAATTGTTGGTAGGGCCTTCATTTCCCATTTTACTGTTTTATGTTTCTTGTGAGAAAATGAACCAGATCACCAAATTAGGGAGTTTTTTTTTTCTTTTTGTCTTTATGTAAGTCGGTTTCGTTATGTGCATTTTTACCAGTATATTGTTTTTAACTATAAAACTTATTGAAACAACTTATCTTCATAAGTTATAGTAATAATAAATTTATTAGAATAAGTTAAATATAGCCAATTAACATTTTAGATGCTACCCACTGATTCTGCTGTTCCTGTTTCTTGGAAATGCTTGTTAGTAAAACACGGTCTTTTAATTGTGATAGGAGTCTAATGTTTCTCCATAATTAATAGGTCTTTACCTTTTTGGTGGTAACGTGAAATTTGCCATGCATTGGTGTTATTTTGTGTGTTTGCGCATGATTACAAATATCAATTTCATTTTATTTTTTGAGTTTTTGTGAGTCACGCCACTGACCCTGACATTATTTATTGCCAATATGGTTTGATGTCTTTACAATTGCTAATTTTCTTTCCTTCTCTGCTCCTCCGGTCTTCTCAATCTCATTTCCATTTTCCCACAAATCTACTCAATGCATCTTAATAGCATTGTAGGTTTTGCGTTAGACTCCTTTTGGTCAATTTCCTGTTTCCTTATTCATTACAATATCAATTATGTATTCTTTCACATATTGCATATGATTTTATGTCAAATTGGAAAGCTTTGCTTGCAATTTGATTGCATCATGGGACTAATATTTAAGATTCCCTTTTACCAAAACTTGTTACATGTTTGGCCATTCTACTATGACGTGGGACCAATAGTCAACAGAACTTAATGTGATGCAAGTAATAAAAAACAAAAAGGAATAATCTTCTTATCCTTTTGGTCATATGTGTAGTATGTGTTTCATTCAACTTATTTCGAAGAAATAATCAATTCTTTTTTATCAGCTATTTTTGAAAAGTAAATAATTATTGTTTCAAATTTAAGCATTTCTAAACATGCACTTAGTTGGAAGAGTACCTTGACAAATGACTTACTTCTCTGTTTTCTAGGAATTGAAGCTCGTGGATTTATTTTTGGTCCTCCCATTGCACTGGCAATAGGAGCAAAGTTTGTCCCGCTGAGGAAACCAAAAAAATTGCCTGGTATTCTTTTTATTTATTTATTTATTTATTTTTATGAAATAGTACTCGTGTTTTATGTTTTGGGTTTTTCTAATGTATAGTTAAGTGACATTAAATACAACTTATCAAATGTTTTAAATTGCAATAAAAAATATGGATTAGATGCTTTTTATGATGTTGAGATAATAAAAAAAAAGTATTTTAACTAAAAATTCCATTTTTTAACATGTGCCCTTGAATATACAGATAAAAAACGTTTATTTTGTCGCATTTCCTCAAAATTTATTGATACTCCTCAGTTGTTTCATCATCCTTTCTCCCACTTGCTCAGCCTGTGTATCAGATTGATAAGGGTGGTCTTTGCAAAGCTCCTTATCTTGTGTTTATTTTGCACGAGTGGGTATATTATGCATTTTAGATTGATCCAATTTCTAATATCTTAATCCGTGACACCATAATATGAGCCATAACATATCGAAGAGGGGAGAAATCATTGTGGATATTTTGAAGGTAACATTTTACATTTATACTCCTGCCCTTTAAGGGTTGCAATCTTCAAATCATTGTTCACTGCTGTATATGCAGTCTACAAATACAATTCTTGTATTTGTGGTAAGACCATTCAGCTTCTTAAGTATCATTTATCATTCTGTATCTTTTGTTTTGTATTATTTACTATCTTTTCATGCGCGAATAATTTACTCTTCAATGCTCATTCTCTGTTATTATTTATTGAAAATTGAAATCATGAATCATTTCAAATAAGTACAACATTTAACCAAGTGCTTGTTCTGGCTTTGGCAAGCTTTCATCCTTCTTAGATTGTTACTGCAACATACTTTCTCTCAGCTTCTGTTAACAAAAGATTGCTTTGGTGACAGGAAAAGTTATTTCTCAAGAATATATTTTGGAATATGGAAGAGACTGTCTGGAGATGCATGTTGGAGCTGTTGAACCTGGTGAGCGTGCTTTAGTGGTTGATGATTTGATTGCTACTGGTGGAACCCTCTGTGCAGCTATGGACTTACTTGGTAAGTACTTGTACAAATTCATATAAAAATTGAAAATGCTTATGTTTAGCTCGGCTAGCAGGGATATGCAAAATACTCCGTATACTCAAACTTTATATCTAACAAGTTGTATATACAAATATAGTTTTAATAAAATAGTAATCAGTAGTGATGTTTTTATATTGAATTTATGAATCAACATGTTTAAAGGGTCCTATTGCCCCACAATATGATTTCTTTTTAATTAAGTTCATAAATGTATTCTTCCCTTTATCTGCCACTTTTTCTTTATGAAAGTCTACTAATATGCCTTGTTCTGTTCTTTTTTGTCTGTTAATGTCACATTGAGATTTGATTATATTGATGTTATTTTGTTGTCTTTCAGAGCGAGTGGGAGCAGAGGTAGTGGAGTGTGCTTGTGTAATTGAATTACCAGAATTGAAGGTATGTAGTCTGAATTTCTTTCTATATATTTTTTTTAATTTTCATTTACCACTCCTCTTAGCTCAAAGCCTACTTTTGAATTTCTCCTTTGCATGTCTCCTCTAGGCCTTTAGTTTTCATGGGACCTGAAAATGAAATTTTTCTGTTTTACTTAGCAGTCATGTAATTGCTACACCTGGAACTATACTTCCTATATATTGCTTAACGATGAGTTAATTCTAAGTGAACAATGTGTATCAATTGGTTAACAGGCTAGCGACTTATTTAGAAAAAATATACCATTTGATACATGCTGAAGGTTTAGGTGTTTAAGTTTAAAAGAAATATTTTCCTGTACTTGTGACAGAAGCCACACCTTTTTTTTTATTTTGATTATTTAATTTTGATTTTCCTTTGTTGCCTTCGTTTCTTTTTTATATATTTACTATTGGTTTATAATTTTGTGAATAATGTGACAGGGGCGCGAACGGTTGAACGGGAAGGCCTTGTACGTGTTAGTGGAATGTTTTGAGTGCTGTCCGTAGATGAAGATGTAGAGTGGGGGATGCGTCACTTCTGGGTCTGGGTGGGTACTTTACCATTTGGAATCCCATTTTATTCAAGTTCCTCCCTTTTTAACGATTATTAAATTTTAAAAGCCTTGTTCTCTCGAGACCCAATGTTTTGCCCCAAGATTTTGATATGGAAAGAATGCTTGTTGAGGCAAATGCTTGTAGTTGAAACTAGGAACAATCACATCAAACTAATTATTCTGTATGACCCTTTCGGTGTATCCTCTCTTTGCTTCTCCCCATGTTTTATTTCAAATAAAACCATTACTTTTGACTTTGGCAGATTATAGTAGATTTGCACCACAATGAAAATGATAATGGCGTTTGTATGGTTGGATTTGGAGCACAGTGCCACTCATTCGGTGACTCTCTTCATTTTCCTGCTCTAATATTAATAAAAGCAAGTTAGGAAAGGATGAGTTTGATTCTTATAATGAGTCTCGTTAGTAAGCGTTTTGAAAATATTAGTTGAGAAATTCATAAATAATATTTTTTGGTGTTCGAAATCATTATTGGATTCTGTTAAAAGTGCGATAGGACACACCATTTGTATTATTTTGTATTCCATAGAAAATCTCCAATTATAATTTTTAATATTACTATAATATTGCTGATTTTTTTATTTTTTTTATTTTTTCTTTGCACGTAGTTTATACAACGTAAAAGCCATTTGGGAAGGTTAATTATACACACACCATTTGCCTTTTTCTTTTTTTACCCTGAAACGTTGCCATGAACACACCGTGTCTACCTTCAACGTTAATAATTGACAAAAACAAAATCTACTCTATTTTCTTTTCTTTTAGTCAATATATTTTAGAGGAAATCATTTTTTTTAAAAGTTCCATATATTGCATTTTACTTAATAGTCTAATTTTTTTTATTTATTTATAGTCTAATTTTTTTATAGCCTTAATTTTTTTTTTACTTTTTCTTTTTCTTTCCATGTGTTAAAATTGTAAATTTTTTATATCCTACATTTTTGTTGAGAGAAACCAATTCAATTGAAATAATAACAAAAAAAGATGTAAAATTTATTAAAAATAATATTTTAGTAAAAATATATGAAACAAAAGTTTAACCGTGTTTTTAAAAAATTAAATTGTGACTTATACTATTTTTTTAGAAGAGAAAGTTATGTAATTTTAAAATAGATGGAACGGTGATATAATATATGCATATTTTAATATATATATATATATATATATATATATATATATATATATATTTTACAATTGTAAGTATTAACTTAGTTCTATTATTTTTTTGGTTTGTAAAAGAACTTTTGAAAATAAAGTAATCTTAATAATTATCGCTAATTTGAATTAAATTTTACAATATTGATTAATACGGTCCTTGACAATGGAAAAATTAATTTATATGTCAAAATTGAAGATCAATAATTTATGATTAATATTTTTAGAAGATTTAATTTTTAATCGTGTAAATTATATTAATAATTACATTACTAAAAATAAAATCTTATTTTATTAAGTGACATTTATTTCGATGTTTTTTTAGGATTTTTTTATTTCATTTTATTTTTTATGAACTTAAAAATCATATAATTAACTCTTATTAGTGGCAGGATAAAGCCACAATAACTCTTTTTACATATTTTATAATTAAATTATTAATTTGTTGTATTTTTTTTGTGCTATCTTAATCTTTCTTTTTATATAGGCATTTTTTTTATCATGTATTTATTTGTGTAACAATACCTTACATCAACGATTACACTAACATTATTTTTTTATTGAAGAATCTATGCCTATAAATTAAATGTGAGAGTCATCATTATAAAATAAGAACACTGTAAAAGTTATCTTAAATAAGAATAGTTTTAAGCGCAACTCTTCGTCATAACGTTGTCTAACTTTTCTTCTCTTGTATTAAATATTTATTTTTAACAATTATCTAAATTTGAATTTTGAATTTTAAATTTCTTATAATATATTTTTTAATTTTAATATTTAAAAGTACTATTTGTAATTTAATTTAATAAATATAATATTTATAATTAAAATAATAAAAAATTTACTTTTTAAATTTTATTAAATTTAAAATTATTTATGTAATATATTATTAAATTTTATTATAAAATATTTAAGTTAATAATACTTGTGCAATGCATGAAAATTCACTAATTTTATTTTAAAATTAAATGTTAAGTTAAAAGTTTATATAATATAAATTATGTTTACAAATTTTAAAATGTTTTATTAATACAAGTTTGTAAATTATTTAGGAAGTTGCAAGTTATCGACAATTGTTTGATAAAAACGTAAGAAGAATTTATGAAAATAACTTGTAATTTTTGAATTTTTAAATAAAATTATTTATATAACTTATAAGAATAGGATCTTGTTAACATATTGCAAGATATTTTATGATAAAATTAAATTGTATTTTTAAATACACGTCAATAAACTATTAAAATTGTTTAATAAAAAAGAAAAACTTATTACTTTCAACGTTATTTTAACAAGTTTTAAACTTTTAAAATCAATTATTACTAATTATTTTTTATTTTTCCTTACTTCAAGAACATATACAAAGTAAAAAATTAATTTTTATTATCTATTTATTTAATTATTTGATATTAAATAAAAATTAATTGGTTGACAATAAATAAATATGTAATGAATTGGTTGATTAAAAAAATAAGTAAGATGATTAATATTTAACTATAATATTATATCAGTATAATTTTGTATTTTAAAATTATTGAATATATTCTAATTAATTATAAAGTTAATTTTACAAAAAATACTTTATAATTTGATTAACTATTTACATAATAACTTTAAAATACAAATTATAAATTTGCAATTATAAACTTCACAGGTACACTTTATAAGGTCGCGACTTTGAGTTAGATTTGCCGAATAGGGAACGAGTAGCTCAAGCTTGGGAGCTTTTCGCAAGGAAAGTAACAGCATAGCAAGTGGCAATGGCGGAGAAGTGCATTCCCGTCAAAGACAAACCCTTTTTGTAGTTAGTTAATTTTTCATTTTCAATGTTACATATTTCATTATCAGTCAAGCAAAGGCTTAGGAACTCATTGCGTGACTTACGCTGTACCCATTCAATGAGTGAGGGATCTTACCTCCTAATCCTAATCAATTTTATATCATAACTTTAACCTTTTATAAATGCTTAGCTGCTTTTCTCTGCTTAATCTAATTTAAGGAAAAAAACGCAAAACATAATATTATAGCAATTGTTAATTATTTTATCTAATAAAGATAATATTTTATTTAGATAATAAAAAAGAATAATAATTCTTAAGATTAAATAATTATATTAATACTACCCATAGTGGTATTTCAAAATTAAGAATGACAATTGATAGGGTACTATAATACCCATCTTCATATCCGCATTTTAAAAAAATACTCGTACTTAGCCCCATATCCGCGTAGGTATGAACATTAATTTTCGTACCCGTAACTTCTGGGTACCCGCATAAGTAGTATAATTATAAAATACAAATGACGTTGGTGGTTGGCTAGATTTTTGTTATCAAGCCAATTTTTAACAAGTTCAAAATAATAGAGACTAACTCTTTACAAAGTTTTTTATAAGAACTAAATTCAAAAAGGGTAATTTTTTTAAGAATAAATAACATAATTAAGTATATTTTAATTATTAATTCAAATTTTGTATGATTTTAAAAACAATGAAATTTACTATTTATTTTTAATTTAACAAATTTTTTATATTTTTAATAATTTTTAACTAATAATTAAAAATGTATTAAAAATCCATTATTAGCACTGTTATTATTATAATCTTTATTGTGAATTCATGTTTAGAATCTTTACAAAGTCACTCCATGACCAAGCATGACCTCACGTTACGTGAAACTAAACAATTTTTCTTACCTTCGTTTGCTTCCATTCCATTTTTCTTTGGTTCGTCTTCCACTCTGCTTCGAAGAGGCATAGTGATGTAATTTAGGCTCTTAACCCCATTGTTTCATAAATAAATGATTTTTAGTATGTATTCAAGATTAAAGGAACTACTAAGTACTAAATATTTCTAATGGATATATTACCAGAGTGAGTTTTCTCAGCAAAATTGAGAGAGAGAGAGAGAGAGAGAAGTCAACAATCTCGGTAAGATTGTCAAGAATTAGTTAGCAGTTACTCGATATCTTAAATCACAATAATAACGATTTGAAAATCACAACTGCAAAAAATCATTTAATTCACACTCAAATACATCACTATCTGCTCTGATAAAAGATGGAGGCAAACAATACAAATGAAACGTTCAAATTTTCGACCCAGCATTTATCAACCCAATTTCCTCATTAATTACACAACATATTTAAGTATTATCCAAAACAGAAAAAAATTGCGTCGATAAATGCACGCCGATACTGCAATTCTAGAATCGCAACAATCAAAATAGATACATACATGCATCTCCATATTTTTAAAAAAATTAAGATAAAGGTAAATAATTTCTCTTTTCATTTTTTACAACTTGTAAATAATAAGAAAGCAGGGCAATACCGCACGCGAGTCAAACACTAGCAACTCGCCGCTGTCCCCACTCACCGAGTCGAAACCCACTCGCTTATCCAACAACGAGTCCAGAAATCCGAGTTGCTTCGAGACCCGACCCGCCACGACCCGGCAAACCAACATAGCCCTTCTGCCCCTGCCTCCGCCGGCAGTCTCATGAGCGCCGCCGCTGCCGGAAAACGTGCAGATCGCCGACCCTTTTCTCTCCGGAAACGACCATGCACAGCCGCCGTCGTAGGGACCACCGTCCTCGGCGGGACCCAAGCAATAAAACCGCATCACCTCGTTCCCATCGGCGATGTACCGCGCATTCTCTTCCCAGTCGTTCCCCTCAGAGAGACCCGCGGCGGCGCGTGCCTTCACAGCCTCGCGAAACTCCTCGAAGCGCGATATGGTCCGCGACCCATTTTGGACCTTGAATATCATCTCGACCCGACCCGGAAATGACTTAGGGCCCCAGCTGGTGTGGAAGATAATCTCAACAACGTTACGCGAAGGGTGCCCCTCGGGGAGCTCAATGATGACACGGGACGAGGTTGTCATGGTCGTGGTAGTGGTGCTTCGTGAGCGAGACATGGTGGTTGTTCGGTTGAGAGAGGCTTCGAATTCGGGTTTGGTTGTTGGGTATTTAGAACTTGGATGTTTTTCCAAAGGTTGCTTAGGCTTGGGCATTCTGGGCTTGGGCTTGGGCTTAGGTACGTCGACCATGTCTTTGATGTTTTGAACGCTCTTTCTGCAACTTGCACTTGGTATCAGGATTTTGGAGTTCGGGTGGTACACGTCTTCAAATGCTCTTGACTTGCACTGCCACGACTTCACCCACCCACTCGCCATTACATGTAATAATATGTGATGTAAATGTACTGTAAGGTTTGGGTTTTGTTTGCTCAGAATAGGTTTCGCGTTCTTTTGTTGCGGAGGAATGAGAAGAGAAAGAGAGGGAGAAGAAGTGGTGGAAGAGACATTGTAATGGCGCGATAATAAATGGGTTTTTTTTCACTCCGTATGCGTTACGAAATCATGGTTCTTTTCTGTCCTTCTGAAGATTTCCGAATTACCCACGTGGATTCTGTCTCGTCCTTTCATGGTTCTGATGAAAAAACAAATTTTATTAATTAGGAAAACAGAAACTCATGAAGCTAGACAAATTCAATTTGGTCCGCACGATTATGATTTTGGTGTTTATGCAATTATGCTTCTCTGTCTGATCGTCTTTTTTAAAAGAAATTGTTTGAATCTGTTTCAAATTCTTAACTCTTAAGTAGTAATTAAACGATTCATTTATGGGGTAAGTTACTTTTAACCCTCATAAATGGTTTTCTTTAGCGTTTTAAAATACTATTCAATGTACCCTTCTTACCAACCGCGTCCTTATCCTGGCGTTAGGACTTTGGAGGAAACTCCAATATCAATTATCAAGTATGAGGTATGATCTGTGCATCACAATCGAAAATTAAAAAGAAAAGGAGCTCTGCAGTTATTCGTTGAAAATTTGGATGTTACAAATCACTTGCTTGGTGGCCGGAGATTAGGGCATGTGAAAGCCCTTGTACACATTGAGGGGGCATGGTCAATTTTATTTTTTTTTTTATTTGTTGACCAGACTGAATGAATTCAAAAAACAGACCGGCGGGGGTACCATTCTTCATTTTCTCTCTTGTATTTGTGCTTATAGTGATAGTAATAAGCACAATTTGAAATTGCCGTGCTGGTTGAAATTGTAATTTTCTCTTAGTGGGATGAGATTGGTATTTTGTTGAGTAATGTATACTTCTCAAGGGCAAGATTATGGCTCCCCCCACTCGCTAAAGAGATTTTATGTGATATCATTAGTCTAAGATGCTAACAAGTGCTTTAATTAGGTGTTGGAACGAAATATGATTGCATTTCAGTAATTTTGTTGGTATATGTATCAGACATATAGCTGTTTCAATTTCATTAGTCAGGGTCCCGATTGAGGTGATATCATTGTGATGAGATATGGAGTTCAAAATCTATGCCTTGTGGCTTTTGGGGGTGCCAATGTTATAATAAAAACTCAATAAACAGTGACAGAAACAGAAAATATACTTCACTTTTTCTAAATTTGTAATTGAAATTTTGCCGTTTTTAAATGAACCAACACAATTTCAGTTGGTGAGTTGCTAATCACGTCAAGTCATTTTCTAATAAAAGCTTTTGCCCTGCCATCTAACTATGAATGCTTGGTGGCATTGTCACTCCTTGAAATCAAAGCAACCATTACTAAGCTGCAGGATTGCCTCGTCAGGTTGACGTTTCAATGAAACAGTAAACCCAGGACCCTCGAACAGTAAACGCTATTTTTCAACGCAAAACAAGAAATTCAAGAGAAACCTTTCCCTTTAGATTCATTTGACATCATTTTGATTTAATTTCGTATGTCACAATGTACTAGTAGCCTTGAATTGCCTATTTTGACACGCAGGGCAATTTATTCAATGCAATCTGGCCTTTCACAATTGTCATTTTTGTTTTGAATTTTCCCTTTCTAATCTATTTAGTGAACGAAAAATCGGAGTACTGCAAGGGAGAATGATAATACAGTAGATAAAATTTAAAATCTGTCTTGAAAATTTGAAGTAGAACGTACATATGGAATGAAGAAGAAAAGAATCTGGCTTGGACTAGGCATCGCATAATTCCAACAACAAAAAAAGCACTGAAATATAAAATGGTAATATGATCTATTTTCTTCCTATTTAGTTTTTTTTTTTTTCAGTTTCTCTAACGACGAGCTAAGGATTTGCAAAAAGAAATATTATTAAGAAAAAGATTAATTAATATCGTTTGAAAACTAGTTAAAAAATTTAAGATAGAAGATTGTTAATGAAAAAATTGTCATAAATGCATTTTCTGACATGATTGTCCACAAAATTTCGAGTGATTTCTAATAAAAATAATTTGATTTTTCAACCAATGCTATAAAGATAATAACTAGCAAGACCCATTAATAAATAACATTTTTATTAAAAATTATAATATTTTAAATTATTAATACATCAAATCTGATAAATTATAATAAAAACTAACATCAAATCTAACTTTTTTTCTAATATTTTACGAATATTTTCAATGAAAAAATTGGTAGAAATTAATTCTTTTTTCATAATGTAAAGTTCTTTTTATATATTATGCATTTACATTAATTAAAATTTTGAATATTTTATAATTTATTTTTAATTTTATTCAATATAATATTTATTATTAATAATTAGAATATTTATTTCAAAAATTATAAAAAAATTAAATTAAAAAATAATCATATAATATATTTTCATTTTAATTTAATGATACTTACGTAGTGAGTGGATAATTACTACTAATTTGTTAAAGTTAAGAATCTAAAGATAGTAAAATTTTAAAGAAAAAATTAGAACATTTGATATTTAAACAAACCTTTACTATTTTTAGATGATTAAAATCGATTCTAAAGATGTTCTTAATGTTTTTCTTATAAAATGTTTATTATTTTCTTAAATATACTAATCAAAGAATAAAATTAAAATTTTGATATTAAAAATACTATTGATATATTTACATTATAATATCTTAACATAATTTTTATGATTATTTTATTCATTAATTAATATCTTAAAAATATTAATTAACAAATATATTTTTAATATGTATTTAATCACATATAATAAGAAATTAATAAATAATAATTTTTTATTAAGAGTTATAACATTTAGTGTTGTATATGCGTTACATCATATGTCCAGGTAAAAATTTAGCACTTTACAGTACCTGTGAATAAAAAGATAATACTGTTAGTTTGAAAGAGTTCATAGACAATTTATGATATTTATAATTTATTTTATTTTATCTTAACAATTTTTTTGTTAAACTTATCAAAATAAATTATTTTAACTTATCTCAACAAATTTTATTATATAAATTATTGTTTAAAATATTTATTAATCAAATGCTTAAATAATCATGTATCTAAACTCACCCACTATGAGTAAGTTTTATTCCTTTATTTCTGATACTACTACTTCATGAACAAAACAATAGCTGAGGCACTTCCAGGGATTATAGGGTAGGAAATTTTTTTAAATAGAATTGTTATGGGAGTTTGAACTGGAACAGCATGGGATGGGGAATAGAAGAATAGAAAGAATGGAAACTGGCACAGACTAGCGATAATGCAAATGAAAAAAGCACTGAATTTCAAAATAGTAAAACGACAAATTTTCTTCCACTTTTGTTTTCTTTTTCTTATTTTATTGCGCTGTATAGAATCTCTCCATGGTTTTGTTTATATCACCTGCAGCGGCTACTCTTGGTACACTGTCACTGTTCATAAAGTTTGGGACTCTTATTGGGACAATGGCCACTAGCACCATTAGAAGCAGACAATCACATCGAGATCATCAAAGTTTATCTATAGTTTTATGGGCTTCGTCATAACACATCAATTATCAAGCCATCCAATGGTACAAACTCAAGGATTTGATCCCATTAAGGCCAAATCAAGTTGTAGCCGAAGTAGGCAAATTTTCAAATTGAATACACCAACACGTGCTGTGGAAAAGGGCAACATTTCGAAATTGAATAACTCAAAAACAACGCATGAGTAATCGAGATGAAGAAAAGAAAAAGAAAAATAATTTGCAAGTTTTTAAAGCCTTTTTTCGTAGTTTCTAGTTTGATTCTTAATTTCTCATGTATGTTTTTATTTTTTTCTTTTCTGTCCAAGCGAATGAATGAATGATGTACATTATTCAAAGCTTGTAAGAGAAAATACAAAGAACTTAATTGCTGGTAAAGAAAAGACAAAGTTTGAAATTGAATGGTCTAATAGGAGTGGGACAATAGATTGATTCTTTCTGTTTTCAAAGGCTTAGCAACGTACAATTTTTTTATGTATAAAAATGGTAAGAATGAGATGTTTCATTATTATAGGACAAGAACAAACGACATATCCAAGATTTTGGACAACTTTACATAAAGGATTATTTTATGGTACTTACTGAAACGATTTTAAGGATCTCTTCCGGAGGAAATAGACTTTGATACATATACTAACTAGTAACTAACTGGGGTGTTCGATATTTGATTTATGTAGACTTTAAGATGAAAAATTATTTGATTTGATTATAAAAAAAATTAACAGTTTAGTTTATATTAATTTGAAAATAAGACTACATTTAAATTAATTTTTTACAATTTAGAATGGATTATTATTTTAATTTTTTATTTTATCTTTTTAAGAAACAATAGTTTAGTCTTTTGATCAACAAATGAATATAATTCATCCATGACGATGAGTAAAGCTATACTTCAACAATAATAATTACAAAAGGCAGGATACTCAATCCAATTAGAGGTAAGATGTTTTGGATTTTAGGCTCCGTTAGTTTCTACATTTTATTTGGGCTACAAAATAAAATTTGTAAATTGAAAAAAGTGTAGTTGGAAAAATGAGCTATTTAATTTCACTTGAGTCAATTTAGTTTGAATTTCAAGCTAAAATATAATAATTTGAGTTAACTTGTTTTGAATTTTAAGCTCCATTAAACCGATCCAAAAATACTTACATTTTATTTTGGCTATAAAAAAGAAATTCAAGTTTGAATCAAACTCATATTTTACACTTAAATAGACTAGACTAAATTTAACACAATAAAAAAATTAAATATTAAATCTCAACATAATTTAAAATTTAGTCTAAATTATAAATAGTAAATTAAAATAATTTTTAAATATTAAAAATACAAATTCATAATAAATTGAACGTGCAGAATCTTTTTAATTATAGTAAGATTTCTTTGAGAATAAAGTAGAAAAATTAACATAAGTTTAGCATTTTAATTTTCAGTTTAATTAAATTTTGAATATAAACACTAAAAACTAAAATAAAATATTGACTTTTTAATCAATAATTTGTTTGATTTTTAAAATCTGTTTAACAGTATGAAATACACTTAAATGGAAAAG